CCGGCTTATGGCAGCGTCTCAATCATCACGTGGGAGGGGAACGGGCTCACTGTTCTCCCGATTCAACGCACACCACTCCACGGAGCGACAAAAAAGACAGAACTCCAAATGCTTTATGTTTTGCTGCTTCGTATAAGATTACTCTGCAAAAAACGACGCATTTTTTAAAATAAACATTGTGGGAAAACGTCCCTAAACCCTAAAAGTATCAAATAATCCTGTGTTTTTAGATAGTAATGGAATTGACCAGATGTCTATAGTCTGGAGTGGACCGATAAAAATAAACCAATGGGATTCGTTCATTTCCAACGAACCAATGGGATGCGTTTACCCTTCACCCTCTTCCTGTTTCTCGAGAGTGATTTAAAACCTAAAATGGCTGAACAGAAAATGCCAGTTTCTCGTTTGCTCCACTCTCCCTGTTGTGACAAAGAAAAGAAAATGCTGGATGTTTGGTTTGGTGAAGAGGCGAGGGGAGGGGGGAGGGGTTTCCAGTTGGTGCTACGGCTAAGCTAACAACATCGCTAACTGCATCTTTAAAACTAGATTCTCCAATGGTACAAAACCATTTAGTCTCATTTCAGGAACAGTAACTTTAAATTTCTCATTCCAAAGGAGACATTTCTCCTATCTTTTTAAAACAAGATCATTTTGCTTTGTCGCATTGGGGAATCTGGTCAGAATGTGCTCAAACTGAGACATATTTTGTCAAATTTTAGGAATTTTTGAATAATCTTTTATCACTTTTTGCAGTGTTGCTGATCTCTCTGTCCGTACAACTTTTGCAAATCCATGTATTAGTCGACAACAAACTATATTTAAAAAAAGTGTAAACATCCGAGGCTGCAGGATCTACAGCCTCAGTCCTGGGTCTACAGCCTCAGTCCTGGATCTACAGCCTCAGTCCTGGATCTACAGCCTCAGTCCTGGGTCTACAGCCTCAGTCCTGGATCTACAGCCTCAGTCCTGGGTCTACAGCCTCAGTCCTGGATCTACAGCCTCAGTCCTGGATCTACAGCCTCAGTCCTGGGTCTACAGCCTCAGTCCTGGATCTACAGCCTCAGTCCTGGGTCTACAGCCTCAGTCCTGGATCTACAGCCTCAGTCCTGGATCTACAGCCTCAGTCCTGAATCTACAGCCTCAGTCCTGGATCTACAGCCTCAGTCCTGGATGTACAGCCTCAGTCCTGGATCTTGCCCACTGGGTTTTAGAGGTTTCTCTCACAGATGCAGGAGAGTCTAGCAATGATCCAGGACACTTAACACTCAACAACATTTATGGACATTGGTCTCTGCCTCTTATGGACCAATACCAATGTTTTTTCCATCATTGCATTTCTTGAGCTTGAACTGTTTGATTCTCTGATGATGAATTAAATGTGTGTTTGGTTTTGGGTTTTAAGATGCTGCAGAAGTTGCGGTAAGTCTTAAAAAGGCTAATTACAGAGTTGACAGAGACGGTGAATGTGAATGATAACCCAGGGCTAATCCTCTTCCATGGCGCTCTATGGTGTTTGCCGACTTAGGAGCGCCGCCAGCCGCCACCTGTCATATTCTCTTAGTGGGCTTTCTGAACGAGAGCCACAAAGTCAACAAATGAAAGAAAGTTACTGGAGGTTAAGAAACTTGTGTGGGCGCCAGTGTTTATCAGACTTATAATAACGCAAAACCCAGGACTGGATTGATTATCAAGCTAATATAAGTCTGGGAGCCTCTTTAGTCCTGCATCGCACAGCCTGAGTCCTGGGTCTAGAGCCTGAGTCCTGGGTCTACTCTACAGCCTGAGTCCTAGTTCTAGAGCCTGAGTCCTGGGTCTACAGCGTGGGTCTTGGGTCTACAGCCTGAGTCCTATCTACAGCCTCAGTCCTGGATCTACAGCCTCAGTCCTGGATCTACAGCCTCAGTCCTGGATCTACAGCCTCAGTCCTGGATCCTACAGCCTCAGTCCTGGATCTCCATCCTCAGTCCTGGATCTACAGCCTCAGTCCTGGATCTACAGCCTCAGTCCTGGATCTACAGCCTCAGTCCTGGGTCTACAGCCTCAGTCCTGGATCTACAGCCTCAGTCCTGGATCTACAGCCTCAGTCCTGGGTCTACAGCCTGAGTCCTATCTACAGCCTCAGTTCTGGATCTACAGCCTCAGTCCTGGGTCTACAGCCTCAGTCCTGGGTCTACAGCCTCAGTCCTGGATCTACAGCCTCAGTCCTGGATCTACAGCCTCAGTCCTGGATCTACAGCCTCAGTCCTGGGTCTACAGCCTCAGTCCTGGATCTACAGCCTCAGTCCTGGATCTACAGCCTCAGTCCTGGATCCCTCTCTCAATAAAGGCGAGGCTTCTCACATTTTTGTTTAGAAAAGTGTATAAAGTGTGTGTTGAGAAGCACTGGTTAAACCCATATTCACCCCTTCCGCTTCCTGATTGGTCAATATTAATTCAAATCCTTGAGGCCTCTTGTCATTGGTTAAACTATTCTCCTGCAGCCAATCTTACTGGTCGAAGTTATACCAAGATTATAAACATGTTATTGTTGATAAATACTAACTGAACATGCTAGCATCTGTCCCGTAGTCAGAAATACACATTATTAACACAAAATACAAGCTAAGTTTAAGTTTCCCCTTTAATTGATCCAAACTTCTACGGCATGATAAATTGCGTATTAATTCCAGAAAGCCTGACGTATCCATGGTAACGAGTGGCCAGAGTGATGTAGAATCCACTCAGTAGTTTTAAATTGCCGGCGCTCTGTCAGAGGTAAAGGTTTATGTGACACTGGGAGCGTGAAAAACAGCAGAGCACGGCCTTTATTGACAAACACGACGACACTGGATCTCAGGTCTGCGCTCGGCTGACCCCCGCAGGCCTCCGTACTTTCTGTTTATGCAGATGAGGCCCAGATGAATGAAGGAGGGTGAGGACTCAGCAGGAAACACACACGCACACAACCAGTACACACACACACACACACACACACACAAGCAGGTAACGCACGCACACACACAGACAGACACAAACAGTACACACTCACACACAGTACATGCACGCACGCACACACACGCACACAGTACACACAAGCAGGTAATAACACACACATACTACAGCAGCAAAAGTAAAGTCAAATAGATAAAAGAGAGAAAGAGAAAGAGTGGGAGAGAGGGAAAGAGAGAGAGAGACAGAAAGAGAGACTGGAAACAAATCCCACCAACTTGCTGTGTGGCCTCATAAAGATAAAGAGATCCTTTTCATGGGTGAAATTTCAGTGTTGCAGCGCACAGACAGGAGAGTAGAAAAATCACACAGGTCACACAGCTGCTATGTTTCTGAGCGAGCTGTAAATGTTTTAGATTCTCAATATTGAACGAATGCGCGTTTACCTACGTGTCAAACTTGGACTGAAAATGGCCGACCTCGACACAAACGACACAGACCCGTCCCTTTAAGAACATCTCCAACATACATCCCCTTTAAACGTTGTGTTGCTCAGTCTCTACAGTTCAGTCACTATTATCTCACACATACTGTACATCACACACACACACACACACACACACCCACACACACACACACACCACAAACATACATATTCTAACCCGATCCCGTGACTTTGGTGCGATCCCGGCTCCACACGTGACAATAGAGAAGTCAAACTCATTACTCAGTCTCCTCAATGGACCGAAAACCCATTTAGCACTTTTGGACGGATCATTTACGCGTCTATTCACCCACAATAATGTCACCGTGGGGACTGCTAGCTTTATTTTGCGCTGGTATCGTTGCTATTCTTGCCTGTTTCACTTTAGGCAGTGGCGGCGATGCTCAGGGGCCCCATCGCGGCCCCGTGGAGTCATTCGAGCCTCATAAAACTATCTGCTATTGTTGAGTTATGGCCCCCAGTGAGAGGAAGCCATATCCTTAATGCGAGACGGGAGGTGTAGCCAATCCCCGTGAGAGCCGCGGTGCTCGGGTTCCGGTTGTATTTATGGAATTTGGATAAAGGAAGAGCAGGGGAACGCGCCGTCTTTGGCAAATTATTTTTTCACGCTCGTTAAATTGAGGCGTGTGCTGAAGTTTTATTCATAGCGACAAGTGTTTTGGAGATTGGAAGGATGTGTGGAGAGAAACAGACTTTTCTCTTCCTCCACTGTCTGCTCTGGGAGTGACGGATTATTATTGAAATCGTTTTTAGACAAAAAAGTGGCCTTCACCATAATGTTGGAAGTTTACAGGAGGATTGTCTACTTCCGGGTGGATCATCAAGACTACTGGTCCTCCCACCTGTCAATCATTCTGGTGATACGTGCTCGTCCAATAAGACCTGAGAGTTTTGTTCAAAAAGTGGAGAATTTTTTTTGGGAAAATCTACCAGAAAAATGTGCTGAACCTTTACATTTCTACATCACATATATAAAACTAAATCTGTATTGTGTTTTATTATTTTAACAATGCATCAGTTTTTTACGGCTCTTTTCAGGACGCTGCACATGTCCTTATTCAATCACTCTAAACACAGTGGTGATAAACAACTACTGTAGCCACAGCTGCCCTGGGGCACACTGACAGAAGCGAGGCAACCAGTCTGTGCCATAGACTCCTCCCACCACCACCAACCACTCACACACACACCAGACTCATTCTAATGTGGGGGAAGTGTCTTGCTTAAGGACACAACCACAGTTTGGAACTTTACAGCCGCAGCCGCCCCACTTTTATGCCCTATGCAGCTCATATGAGTGTCCCCTGGTGGGATGAATCTGAATCTTGGAACGCTGTGATGTCACATGAACACAACAGAACATAGATGGACCATACATGGAGCAACACATCGGCCAAAGGGAAAAATACATAGTCTCTTTCTCTCAGAGTAGAGTAGAGTAGAGTAGAGTAGAGTACTGTAAGAGTAGAGTAGAGTAGAGTAGAGTAGAGTAGAGTAGAGTAGAGTAGAGCAGAGTAGAGTAGAGCAGAGTAGAGTACTGTAAGAGTAGAGTTGGTGGAGTTCGAACCTGTCTGTTGCGTTCGTCTGTGATCCGCTGAATCTGAATCTTTTTCCTCCCCATGGCGACGGTGTGTGGTGGGCGGGGCAGGGGGCGTGGTCAGCTCAGATCTCGGCGATGGCTTTGACGATGGTGTCGTGTGTTTCTTCCGTTCGTCGGGGCAAGAAGCGTCTCCAGCTGGAACTCTGAGAGCGAGCGACGCCAACGAGACTCAAAGAAAAAGAAAAGTAAAGAAAAAAGAGGGAGGAGGAGGAGAGGGCGTGAGGCGCTGGTCCTGGATCAGATCATGGTCGGGCTCCGGGACCGTCTGGACTGGGATCTGCCCTCTGCTCTGCACGGCTCTGGGCGGCTCCTGGAAACACAGCGGAGGAAATGTGGTTTGTCAAAGTGTGGTGGTGCTCACGATTCAGACTAATTTATTCATCCAACAGGGTTAATAAGTTTGAGCAGCAAAACAAAAGATTCGAAAAAATAAGGAAAAATAAATGAATATAATTAAAATACAGGAAGTGGAGTCCCATACAAACATATACAGTAAATATTAAACAACAATAAACAATAAAGAGACCAGAGAGAGAGACCAGAGAGAGACCAGAGAGAGACAAGAGAGAGAGACCAGAGAGAGACCAGAGAGAGAGACCAGAGAGAGACCAGAGAGAGACCAGAGAGAGACCAGAGAGAGAGACCAGAGAGAGAGACCAGAGAGAGAGACCAGAGAGAGAAAGAGACCAGAGAGAGACCAGAGAGAGACCAGAGAGAGACCAGAGAGAGAGAGAGACCAGAGAGAGACCAGAGAGAGAGACCAGAGAGAGAGACCAGAGAGAGAAAGAGACCAGAGAGAGACCAGAGAGAGAGACCAGAGAGAGACCAGAGACAAGAGAGAGAGACCAGAGAGAGACCAGAGAGAGAGACCAGAGAGAGGAGAGAGACCAGAGAGAGACCAGAGAGAGAGACCAGAGAGAGACCAGAGACAAGAGAGAGAGACCAGAGAGAGACCAGAGAGAGACCAGAGAAAGACCAGAGAAAGAGAGCAGAGAGAGACAAGAGAGAGCCTTAGGACGAGACTTAAAACACTCCACAGAAGGAGCAGTTTGAACATTTGAGTCCAAAAATGGTAAAAATTTGGCAAAAACATAACTTAGTTTAAAACAGGTGAAACACATGAGGGTGGAGCAGCCAAGAAACTGAACAGACCAAGCTTAGGAGAACCAATATCAAAATAAAACCAAGTAAAAGTCTTCACAAAGTCCACTCCATGACATGGACTGTGCTAAATAAAAAAACTTGCCGAGCCTATTGTTAATTATTTATTCTGTCTATATCATATAGAGTTAGTACGGGACAATTGCACTGCAAAAATGATGAAAAATGGCTCAAATTTGGCAAAATGCTAATTCAGACTGAGCCTTAAAACAAGATTTTCCAATGGGTCACAACTAAATTCTCTGGTTTTAAAAAGATACAAGAAAAATCTCTGTTGAAATGAGACTAAAGGTGTTTGTCCCGTTGGAGAATCTACTTTTAACACAGTCAGATTGTGTCGGATTGAGTTAAAAACCACTAATTTATAATCTAATCTAATAGTTTCATTATTTTTTTGCAGTGTAGACTTTAAAGTTGCTCTGCCTGTGTTTCAGGATCATCACCACCAAAAACAAACCCGTAAATCTAAACAGAACCTCCTGTGTATTTCAAGTATGTGTATTTTATTCTGTACCAAACACTGCAAGGTCAGTTTTCTTAAATCTTGTGATATCCAAGGCTCATAATGACCCCCTCCAGTGCTTAAAAAGAAGAAAAGTCTAAAATGCTCTAAATGTCCCAGGGCTGGTCAAGTTAGGAAAAAGCATCAAAATTCAACTTGAAAAACACATATTTAGGGTATTTTTAAAACAGTGTGAGAGTCAAGCGTTCTCCAGGAGTGCACAAGGGTTAATTACTAAAACATCAGTCACTTTTGGGTTGCCAGATCCTATAATGACTCCCAGTTCACTGCCAAACCCGTGACTGGGCTGGTTCCTGAGGTTGCACCGAGCGTCCCGTACGTGCAGGTGGCAGGTGCGGCGCCTCTTTACAAACTGTTCTTTGTGTCTCTGCATATTTCTACATTATCATTTATTTTAGCACAAAAAACCCGAGACTGGGAACATGAGCGATTCCCCAGAGTCAAAGAGAGTATCAAAGCTATTCCAGCGTACAAACACAATCAAACAACAAAAAAACCTCAAACTATCAAATGAAATCAGAGAAATGTGTGTGTTTATTCCCCGTGACCCACTTTCCGCTGCCTCCACATCTGAATAATAATCATAAACGTTGCGTGGTGCGTTGGAATTGCCGGTGAATGGGGCGCATGTCTGACAGGGCTGCGGCAGGCGGGGGGTGGGGCAGGAGAGAGACCCCCAGGGGACCGGGAGGCAGAGAGAGAGGCTGTGCTGTGTCAGCTTCATTAGAGGCATCACCGCCACATCACTGATCTGCAGGTCGCCCGCGGCAACCGGCTGCCCGCCTGACATGCCCAGCGTGACTCCCATACACCCCCTCCCCCCCCACTGAGGGAGAGAGGGAGATGCAGACTGAGGATGGCTCTATCATGCTCGTCAGCACAAGCACCTGCATGAGGGAGAGAGAGACCACACAAGCATCTGCATGAGGGAGAGAGAGAGACCACATGAGGGAGAGAGAGAGAGAGACCACACAATCATCTGCATGAGGGAGAGAGAGAGACCACACAAGCATCTGCATGAGGGAGAGAGAGAGACCACATGAGGGAGAGCGAGAGAGAGAGAGACCACACAAGCATCTGCGTGAGGAAGAGAGAGAGACCACATGAGGGAGAGCGAGAGAGAGAGAGACCACACCAGCATCTGCATGAGGGAGAGAGAGACCACACCAGCATCTGCATGAGGGAGAGAGACCACACCAGCATCTGCATGAGGGAGAGAGAGAGAAACCACACAAGCATCTGCATGAGGGAGAGAGAGAGAGACCACACAAGCATCTGCATGAGGGAGAGAGAGAGACCACATAAGAGAGAGCGAGAGAGAGACCACACAAGCATCTGCATGAGGGAGAGAGAGAGACCACATGAGGGAGAGCGAGAGAGAGAGAGACCACACAAGCATCTGCATGAGAGAGAGAGAGAGACCACATGAGGGAGAGCGAGAGAGAGAGAGACCACACAAGCATCTGCATGAGGGAGAGAGAGAGACCACCGCCATGAGGGAGAGAGACCATCACCACCATCATGAGGGAGACCACAAGAGAGAGACCATACAACCACAGTTATGAAGGGGAGAGAGAGAGACCACCACCATGAGGGAGATAGAGAGACCACATGAGAGAGAGTCCACACAACCATTGTCATGAGGGAGAGAGACCAGATGAGAGAGCGAGAGAGACCACACAACCACAGCCATGAGGGAGAGAGACCACATGAGAGAGAGAGAGAGAGAGACTATACAACCATAGCCATGAGGGAGAGAGACCACATGAGAGAGAGAGAGAGAGAGAGAGAGACTATACAACCATAGCCATGAGGGAGAGAGACCACATGACATGACGTTGAACATGAACGCTATCAGTACATTTCTCATCAATTAAATCTCAGTCGCTAAAACAGTTCTTTTTTTTTACTTCCTGCATACACACACTTGTACACACACTTGTTTACACATTTGTACACACACTTGTACACACACTTGTACACACACTTGTACACATCTCTCTGTATGTATTTCTCTGTGAGTAAATTGACAATTCCCCTTATCCCATATCATAACACAGTCATCCTACATTTCGCACAAACACAACTCTCTCCTCAAACGCACACACCACGCTGCAAACATGAAAACAAACAAGCCCGCTCTTATAAATAGCCCTTTCAGAGAGCAGCGGCGGCAACATTAGCAACCTAATGCTTCTGTAAATACACCCTGCTCTCATGAATGAACCAGAAGGCGGCAATCCAGGAATGGCAAGCGCCGTTTTAGGCCTGTTACCACTATTTATGGAGCCGTAAAAATAGCTCTCTCTCTCTCTCTCTCTATCTATATATATACATCCATCCAGCCGGCGAAACACAGCCAGGATAGCACGGATACATTTATAACTGGGATAGTCAGGCCTTCCAGAACCGCCGCCACCGGCTTCCCCGCATTCTCCACATTCTTTCTACCTGGGAGAGCTCGAGCGATGACGGAGGAACAGCCCATTTGCATGCATTCTCGGCGAACAAAGCTAGTCCGACGGTTTGTCTTGGGACTGACGTGCCTTTTGTTGCGTTCGTGAAATGGTCGGTCTATGAATTATGCGCTGACGGACGGACGCGGCGGTGATGTTGGCATGAAAGACGTTTTGAAGGCTCGCGCACAATGGCGGTACAATGGAGGCGATATTACGATCGGATAGCGGGGCGGAGTGCGTAGACAAAGGGTTTTGGTGTTTACTATGAGGGTTGGTTGGCATATTAGTCGCTTCACTTGTTTATGAGCAGAATTTCGGTTGGGTGGTTGGACTCGGCGTGTTTTGTTATGATTGGAACGAGGCGGTTTGAGCAGGTTTGAGGGATTTATAATGGAAACTGAAGGTGTTGCATGAGGTCAGCATTTGGAAAAACTAGGACTCAAGCAATGGCGACATCCAAGGCAGCACGTGGGTAGCACTCTCGCTGCTCAGCAAGAAGGTTCTGGGTTCGAATCACGGTCGGAATAGGGCCCATGGCTACAATCCGGAGAGATGTGTTCATTAACGTGTACTGTCCCAACCAAATCAACAATAAATCCCAGGCCAGCACATAGCACTTAGAATCAAAGAGTAGCAGTCGCTGGGGACACTTATGTGGGGTTTACCAGATATCTATTATAACTACTAAACATGTATTTGTTATTTTATTTTTTGTGTCATCAATCACAATCCTGACCAATATATCACACATTTACGTTTTCTAAAAAGCAGAATTTTGTTTAACCAAATTTTTATTCTGTGGTTTGTAGTGTATCTCCATGTTTACTGCGGCCAACAGTCTCCCCACGTCGTCACCTGAACATGTATCATTAGTGTCATCAGCAAAAGTAAACATTTAATTCGCTTTGACACGTCGATCTCATTATGTACATTATGAATAACGTGGGTCCCAGCATTGACCCTTGTGGTGCTCCACTGGTCGTGTCCATGCATCCAGACATGTGTCCATCAATCTGTTGTCTTTCATATAAATATCTCAATAACCATTAGGGTTTTGCTGGTCCCCTGCAGATTTTCAATGAGGTTATTACTATATGATGTCAATGGTAACAAAAGCTTTGAGGGAATCAATAAAAAATCCATCCATTTATTTAAAAAAAATCCGTTTCTGGGTCGAGGCAGTTTAAGCAAAGACGCCCAGACTTCCCTCTCCACACACACTTCCTCCAGCTCATCTGGGGGAATCCTGAGGCGCTCCAAGGCCAGCTGAGAGACAGTCTCTCCAACGTGTCCTGGGTCTACCCCTGGTCTCCTCTCGGCTGGACATGAAAATAACTAATACAAGCACATTATCCACACCATATATTGGTAAATCTCGCCCCTAAATCAACTAAACGTGGTCTGCGGAGACGGCTGGAACACTAGGGCCCATTTGCAGAGTGTAGATTTAAACTAATGAATGAGACATTAACATTAACGAGTGAGTCATGAACCTGGCTCAGTGATGTCTTTCTTCATTAGGGAAAGAAAACTGTGGGAAAGTTCACAGCACAAAGTTTACGATTGGAGTAACTAAGAAATACTCTCCACCCACTGTATTTCTGCAGCACTCTGATGCAAAACGGGAATCTATGAAGAACATGATGACAATTTAAATAAGGGCTCATTTATCGGCCACTATTTTTAAAACTACATATTTTTTACTCTAGGGTCTTGCAGGTACAGTATGACAAAAGGCCTTAATATTCAGCCTAGTAATCATTTCACTGGGTAACAAAAAAATATTTTTTGAAATAGTCCAGGGTTTTCAGCTGAATTAGACTAATTTTGATGCTCTGAGTCCGAAAATGACCTTGGTTTTGCTCAATCAGGTCAGGATTTTTTGCTACAGAAATATTTTTTTTAATCGATTTTGCGTAAAAAACAAATTTCTGCGGATCATCAGCTGAGAAACCCTTGACGTTTTTTCCGTTTTCCTCAAGAAATAAAAGTCAACGTATCCAAAGTCATTCAGTTTTTATTTACTCCATCAAATTTGATAAGCAGAATTCATAATAACGTAGACGTACATAATCTGTAACACTATGGCTGTATCTCAAAAAGTTGACCTGATAGAGCAAAATGCATGTGATATTCGGACTCAGAACACCAACATTAGTCTGAATCAGTTGAGAAACCCCCGAGCATTTTTTGGTTGTCAACTTGTGTTTTCAATTGAATTCAATGTATTTGTGTATCGCCCTAAATCACAACAGCAGTCGTCTTGAAGGACTTTGCGAAGTTGTCGATTCTTCAACAACAGATCGGAGAATCAAACAGTTCAAATAGAGGAAAGACAACGGTAAAAAACACATAGAAGCCATTGGTTCAAAGGAACATGTTAATATACAGAAAGTCCATAAATGACTCAAAACATCACTGTCCTCAGACCTTTCTGCATCGGCGAGGACAAAAAAAAAAACAAAAATAAAGGAATTATCACACGTTTTTGCATTGACCAAATCATTAGTTCAAACACTGATATTTTTCTAATATTAAATTTGCTCAGAATAATACACAAATTCAGCTCTAAGCACAAGACAAGACAGCGACTGCTTCTACGACCACTAGAGTCCTGCACCTACAGATTCTCTTAATGTGGGCCACCCTGAGCTTTCCTACTGTTTTTTCCCCAGATTTTTCCCCACTATTTTTGAGTAGCTCCTTTGCCGATGCAAGAGGGCCTAAAGACAGTTATGATTCGGGACATTTAAGGACGTTTAAGGACATTTATTAACATCTATAGACATCCCACTCCCTATGGACCAATGGCTTCTATGTCCTTCCTATCATTGCATTTCCTGAGTTCGAACCGTTTCATTCCTTGATAAATTGTTGATGAATGAACAACTTTGGGAAGTCCTCCACGACGACTGCTGCTGTGTTTTGAGGCTGGACACAAATAGACTGAGTTTAATTGAATTGAGAGTGTTTCATAATTCGCTACAGAAGCCGCATATACAGCAACTGGTTGACATGTCCCTGTAGGTGCATTGAGCTCCAGCAGCGCCGATCGCCTTCATTAGTCCGACAGGGCAGAGGACTAGCCGCGGCGATGGTGCTACGGTTCAAAGCCGGTCGCACTCAGGGACTTGTCTTTGGGCTCCGGGGCCGATCACACATGAAACGGCTGCTTTATCTGCCCAGGGTGGTCGGCACTCAACCTTTCAACCTTCACTCTCCCGCATCACTCGCTTCCCGTGTCTGATGTCGGCCAGAATCAGGGCTCTCACACGCAAAGGAGAGCAGAGGCCTGGAGAGAGCCTGTGTGAATACTGGCCCCTGCTGCTGCTGCTGCTGCTAACGCACTAGGCCCCCTGACAATGAGCAGATAAACGGTGATAATTAGGAATCTTCAGCGGAGCCAGAACAGATCCCTGGGGAGCTCCAACAAGACAGGAGAACGTCTCAATTCGTTTCACAAGTGTGCGAGAGTATTGGTTTGTAATTTATGTCGGGGAATGGTCTCGCGGTGTAATGTGAAGGGGCCGTGGGGGGTGGGGGTGGGGGGGTGTATAGCTGTACTCTGGGTCCTAAAGGAGTACAGCTATACATGAAAGGAGGAATAGCAGAGTGAAAATAAGAGAAATGTGTCAGCAGCTGAATCAGGCATATCTGAAGAGAAATTTTAGAGACAGAATGAAATGAATAAACACATACATTTGCAAAAGTAGTCACAATTTCATAATATTTTAGCGGTCATCAAGTGTCTGACCTGCTTTCTGAGGTCTGAGCCGCACAAAGACAGAACAGTGTAGAGGTTTGAAACCATATTATGTGATTACGGAACCAGCTTTGTAAATGTGTCCGTCCACATGAAGCTAAAACATAAATCCAATTCACCTGAGGGAACTGTAATGTGCGTGCTAGGCCTGATGGTGGCGCTATAAAGCTGCGATCGAAAATACAAAATCAGACGAAGAACCATTGGGACACCTCTGTACCCTACTAATGAAAAACAACAACGACAGAGCTAACTCTGCGCTAAAAGCTAAACGAGCTTAACAGAAGAGAGACCAGAGAGAGACCAGAGAGAGAGAAACCAGAGAGAGAGAGACCAGAGAGAGATCAGAGAGAGACCAGAGAGGGACCAGAGAGAGAGACCAGAGAGAGCGACCAGAGAGAGCGACCAGAGACAGACCAGAGAGAAAGAGAGAGACCAGAGCGAGACCAAAAAGAGAGACCAAAGATAGAGACCAGAGAGAAAGAGACCACAAACAGACAGAGAAAGAGAGAGACCAGAGAGAGACCAAAGAGAGAGACCAAAGATAGAGACCAGAGAGAGAGAGACCACAAACAGACCGCAGCGAGAGAGAGAGACCGCAGAGAGACCAGAAATAGACCAGAGAGAGACCAAAGAGAGACTAAAGACAGACCAGAGAGAGAGAGACTAGAAATAGACCGGAAAGGGTCCAGAGAGAGAGACCAGAGAGAGACTAAAGAGAGACCAGAGAGTGACCAGAGAGAGACCAGAGCGTGTCACTTCCTCTAATATTTTCCAGTAGAACCAATGAGCACTGATTGACATCTTGAAAACCCGGCAACAGAACAAAGCAGAGCCAAAAAGTGAACCCTGAGGAACACCAGCAGCACAAAAACACAATCAAAACCTAACCCTTGATAAGACTAAACATTACAGCCAAAATCTTCCTCGTCCGTTCCTCATCTGTAAACACATTAGCCGCACAGACTGTGGAATAATACAGCCGTCAAACATGGCACGCAAACGCACTGATCCCAGAGGAGAGACGCTGATGGCGAGAGAGCCGAGAGCGGATTCCCCGAGAATGACACGTTTTCATCAGCATTCAGCGGGAAAGCCATTTGGAATCTTTGCTTCTCGGCCTTTTTGCGGTCGTATAATTGACGAGCCGAACACGGGATTACACAAACTGCCAAAATTTTATTAACTACAGCGAGCCATAAGCTTAAAACGATAATACGGTAAAATGCAGTATTTGTGGGTACGATTACAGCACTGGGGAGAGGGCAAGAGGAGATAACATATGTGTCAAAAATTTAAAGTCTGGGCTGGAGAATTGGGCAATAAGAGAAAGCTAATGCTATGTTGAAGCTATTACTACTATAATAATACTGTAATATTTGTTTTTTTCATGTATTTCTCGGGCAAAACAAAACCAAAATAGAGTCAGGGAGAAGTTAGTATCATTCATTCATTTTCAACCCCTTTATTAGTCCATGTCTGGGTCGCAATGAGAGCTGCCACCCAATGCTTGTAGCACCAGTCCCTCTGATCCTTTGCAGGGGGTGGGTCCACAGGAAGACGGCTTGACGCAGCCTTGTTCTTTCAGCGGGGGCTTCAGGCAACGTGGGGTTAAGTGTCTTGCCCAAGGACACAACGACATCAGACATCAGTGGGAGCAGTTGGAGCAGGTCCCATGGTGGGCTCGAACCCTTTCAGGCTCAAAGGCCAACGCTCGACCAACTGAGCCACTTTACGAACCCTGATGGTGGATTTGGTGAAGGCAAACCACCCACACTGCAAAAGGATACGGGTAGAAAGTGTACAATTTATGATTATGGGATTTAGGGTCAAAGTAAAGCAGCAAAAATCAAATCAAATGTTTTTATAAAGAACCATTCATCCAGCGCTTCACAAGATATTCAAAAAGCACATGATAAAACATGAAAACAGCAAATACGCATGACAATATTGTGTGAAAAATTCAATATGGAAAATTAAAACACTAATTAAAACAAACACAGCAAAAATGTGATTAAAATGAGTCAAAAATTGCTGAAATTTGGCCAAATGTATCTCAATTTTAGCTAATTCTGACTGATTTTGCCAATGGGACAAAGCAAACTGATTTTGTTTTGACAAGATACAAGAAATGTCTCTCTTGGAACCAGAAAATAAAGCAGCAGTTCTTGAAATAAGTTTTTATCCCATTGGAGAAGCCTACCTCATATTTTATCATTTTTTGCAGTGTAGCAGTTCAGATCTCAGGCCTAGTTTTGCAGTGATATATAAACAAGCTGGTTTATTGCTAATCCTAATGATCGAACGTGAGGATTTGGTGAAGGCATAAACCACCCTGCACACGCCAAGTATCAGAGAGAACATGTATAAACGATATAACGTGACCTCTCGTCTCCGCGCCACAGACAGGCCACAGACACGCCGCAGACACGCCACAGACACGCCGCAGACACGCCGCAGACACGCCACAGACACGCCGCAGACACGCCACAGACACGCCACAGACACGCCGCAGACACGCCGCAGACACGCCACAGACACGGCGCAGACACGCCGCAGACACGCCGCAGACACGCCACAGACACGGCGCAGACACGCCACAGACAGGCCACAGACACGCCGCAGACACGCCACAGACACAGCGCAGACACGCCGCAGACACGCCGCAGACACGCCACAGACACGCCACAGACACGCCGCAGACACGCCACAGACACGCCACAGACACGCCACAGACACGCCGCAGACACGCCACAGACACGCCACAGCGAGGCCTTTCCGGGTCACAGCCTCAGCTCGGACCACAACAAAGATTAGTCCAGAGAAAAGCACAGTTTGCATCATTATCCCTCACATCTGCTGCCTCCCTCTCTCTCTCTCTCCATCTCTCTCCATCTCCCTCTCTCTCTCTCTCCCTCTCTCTCCCTCTCTCTTCCTCTCTCTCCATCTCTCTCTCCATCGCTCTCTCCATCTCTCTCTCTGCTCTGCTCGTGTGGGAGGAGGGACTGCAGGAAAGGCCAATATTCTGACTCCTACAGAAGGAGATGGAGGAGGGGGAGGAGAAGGAGGGAGACATGGAGATGGAGGAGGAGACGGAGAAGGAGAAGGAGGGAGAGATGGAGGAGGAGAAGGAGAAAGACATGGAGATGGAGGAGGAGAGGAGGAAGGAGAAGGAGGGAGAGAGGGAGATGGAGATGGAGAGGGAGAAGGAGAAGGCGAGGGAGATGGAGATGGAGAAGGAGGAGAAGGAGGTGGAGAAGGAGATGGAGGAGAAGGAGAAGGCGAGGGAGATGGAGAAGGAGGAGAAGGAGAGGGAGGTGGAGAAGGAGATGGAGAAGGAGAAGGAGAAGGCGAGGGAGATGGAGATGGAGAAGGAGGAGAAGGAGAGGGAGGTGGAGAAGGAGATGGAGTTGGAGGAGATGGAGAGGGAGAAGGAGAAGGCGAGGGAGATGGAGATGGAGGAGAAGGAGAGGGAGGTGGAAAAGGAGATGGAGTTGGAGGAGATGGAGAGGGAGGAGGAGGAGAGGGAGAAGAAGAAAGAGATGGAGAAGGAGAAGAAGGGGAGGGAGGTGGAGAAGGAGATGGAGTTGGAGGAGATGGAGAGGGAGAAGGAGGAGAGGGAGAAGAAGAAAGAGATGGAGAAGGAGATGGAGTTGGAGGAGATGGAGAAGGAGAAGGCGAGGGAGATGGAGATGGAGGAGAAGGAGAGGGAGGTGGAGAAGGAGATGGAGTTGGAGGAGATGGAGAGGGAGAAGGAGGAGAGGGAGAAGAAGAAAGAGATGGAGTTGGAGAAGAAGGAGATAGAGAATGAGAAGGAGGATAGGGAGAAGGAGAGGGAGAAGGAGGATATACAAGTAGCTGCTATGTTTCTTAGCTAGCTTCAGTATCAATATATCAACACATCTCTATCATCTGTATATACGTATAAGTGCAAAGTTAAACACAAATCGGGTAATAATAAGTAGGTAAAGTGACATTCAGGGACATTCTGAAGTTGCAGAATTTACCCACCTCTAACCATTCACACACACTCACACACACCAGGCTCATTCTGATGTGGGGGAAGTGTCTTGCCGAACGACACAAGAACAGTTTGTCACTTTACAGCCACAGCCGCCCCACGCAGGAAATGAAATGATATCAGAAACATAAGAGCCAATGGTTTATAGAGAGAGAGACAGAGACTGAGAGAGAGACAGAGAGATAGAGAGAGAGAGAGAGACAGAGAGAGAGACAGATACTGAGAGAGAGACAGATAGAGACAGAGAGAGAGACAGACTGAGAGAGAGACAGATATAGAGAGACAGAGAGAGAGAGAGAGACAGATAGAGAGAGACAGAGACTGAGAGAGAGACAGAGAGACAGACAGAGAGAGAGAGATAGAGAGACAGATAAATGACATGTACAGACTCAGCAGTTCTCATTGTACAGTCTGACAGCAGCAAGAAGGAAAGACCTACGGAACCACATGATGCTAAAGTTAGACATTTTGTACTTGCTTCTTTACCATGCTAAAGTGAGAGGTTTGAGTTGCCTTGTGTATGAACTGTGCCACACAAATAAATAAACTTGCCTGGCCTTGGTTATTAGCATCAACCAAAGAATCATCCATCAACGTGAGCTATCGTGACAGGTCTATTAGCTAAACCGGCGGTTAGCACGCGCTTCTAAAAAGGTAGCTCATTCATACTGCTCCACCACGCTCCAGTCCAGCGGCGGAGTCCGAGACGAGAGACAGAGTCGGCGTCAGAGGTTAAGTGTTTGCTCAGGGGCACGTCGGACACATTCTCTCTGCTCCGACCACGGCGTTGAACCCGTGACCTGCTTTTGACAACCTGCTCCTCTCTCCTGAGGCGCAACAATGGCCAGAGCATCAGCGGTTCTCGACTCAAGAGTCCGCTGCAGGGAGAGGAGCTCTGTGAGGTCTGCACTGCAAAAAATGATCAAATGTGAGGTAATAATGGCTTGAATTGAGTGGTTTTTGAGTAGACTCTGACCGTCTAAGCTCTTTAATGTCCACTCCTTGAAGAAAGAAATGTGAAAATGTTATTGATGTAGAAGCACTGATAAAAACTAATAATGGTTTTTGTTTTTTTTCTAACCCCCAGTTTTTTATTTTAGGCCCCTAACAAATGGTTGAGAAGCAGCTTGATTATAAAAAAAAAAAAAAAAAAATAAAACCACGTGATAGAGATGCCCCAATGAGGTAGATTTAAAGGTATGTATTAAGTAAGTAAGTAATCCATTCTTCTTGTGCACACTGGGGACTTTTGCTAATGTATTCCAAAGTGGTTTTACTGCAAATGGCAAATAAAATGAATCTGAATCTAAATCTGTAATCTTTATATATAGCGCCTTTCACAGACCAGAGTCACAAAGCGGTTTACAATTGTGGGCATTAGTCTCTCACTCCTCACAGAGATGGGAGCGGGGTCAGTACAGGAGGCACATGTCAGACCTGTACATGGTTTTTTGTGGTAGGGGAAACTGGTGCACCTGGAGGAAACCGTACGCAGACACGGGGAGAACATGCAAACTCCACTCAGAAAGGAAAATGTCTTCAAATTTGAGGAAAAAAAACACCCTCTCTACATTTTGAACAAAACTCTCTGGTCTTATTTGTCAAGCACATATCACCAGAATGATTGACAGTTGGGAGAACCAATAGTCTTGAGGATGCACCCGGAAGTAGAAAATCCTCTTATATACTTTTAAATTCCACAAATGTTCAAGAAAGTGACAAAAAAAAGGATCCACCAATGGTCGAGGAAACAATCAAAGGGTTAAAACAAGATTCTCCAATGCGACAAGGCCAATTAGTGTCATGTGGTGATGAAGGCAAGGACCCAAAATGCAAGAATGCCAAAAAAGACAATTAAAGATAAATAAACAGGGAAAAAAAAAATCACAAAAAGGAACCAAACAGGGGTCAAGAACAAAAGCAGACGTAGAATGACAATGACGGAACAGGGAGTGAAGGAACACATGGGGCTAAATACAAAAAGACACAGGTGAGACACATGAGGGCGGGGCATCAAACAGGAAGTACAACCAAAGACGACACGGGTAAATTAACAAAATAAAACAGGAAATAAATCTAAACCATGACACTTAGTCTCATTTCAAGAACTATTGCTTTATTTTCTCAATCCAAGGACGACATTTCTTGTATCTTTTAAAAACAGATAATTTTGCTTGATATAAGGAAGTCAAAAATGGGCTCAAAAAGAAAAACATTTAGCTACATTTATTTTCCCTCATTTTTTGCATCCCTTGCGTCTCCTAAGTGTTTGTGTAATTATTGCATTTCCAGCTGTTTAATGATTTAAAGCAACCGCAGAGACCACGGACACACTTTTTTTGGCAGCTCAAAACGCAAACATAACCCATCTTAATGTATTGAAAATGTGATTCCTGGGCTGAGCCGTGGAGCTGTGGAGCCGTGGAGCCGTGGAGCCATGGAGCCGCAGTGGGCCTGGACCGTCCTGCAGCAGCGGCTCTGATCCACTCCTCATAGCCCTGGCGTGTTAAGTGCTACCGCTGCAGCCTGGAGCAAACAGATAACAGGCTACAGCGGGGGCTAAAGAGGCTGGAGGAGGCGGGTGGTGGTGGTGGGTGGGTGGGGGGTGTCTGTGCGATAGAGGCGATGGGTACTGGAGCTTTGCCAAAGGACCGTTGAGAAATCCATCACCTCTCCCACTCACCGCCAGCATCTGCTCAGCCAACACCGCGGCGCACAAGGGTCGCGGAGCTTACACACTCACCGACGTCGAGGAGCCGCGTTTGAAGCCGTGGTGTAAAACATTCCGACCTCACGTTAAAGACATACTGTGTTTAACTGCGTCTGAACACACTGAGACGTGGCATTAGCTGTGCCAGTCTGTAGCAGCCAATACCTTTGAAGGCTTTGACCCGTTACTCAATCAAAGAGAAGTTAAAGGAGATGTATGTAAACATCCGGCCAAAAGTGGTACTGCGACCTCTCCCACTCTCCCTGACTCAGGTTGCCAGATATGCAGACAAATCCAGCTGGGACTATAATATCTGATTTCCTAGATTTGAGAATCATAACGAGGCCTTTTTTAGTTCTGTGGCCACGTGGTACTTTACCAGTGAGATTAGCTTGACGCGCTGAGTTCTGGCGCCCAGATCACGGAATTTCTGATTGGTAAAACAATGGAGGGCGGGACATCAAAATGAAAACAATAACAAGATTGACCCCTATTTTCTACCCCTTAATCCATTTCTGGGTCGCGGGGTGGCAGTCAGAGATGCCACCCAGGCCACAGAGCACCACAGGAGGATGGCTGCTCTGTCAGTGACAACACAGCCTTGATCTTTCAGTTGGGGGTTCAGGCAAAGTGGGGTTAAGTGTCTTGCCCAAGGACACAACGACAGCAGACATCAGTGGGAGTCGGTGGAGAAGGTGTCATGGTGGGCTCAGTAATTTTAAATATCTCTGAACTGCTGTGATCAGTTGAAGAAGCATTGGAATAGGTTTTATTACTGCCTTTTGACAGATTAGGGCCCTTTAATGATAACTTGACATAAAAATCTTGCTACTTAAGAAACTGACAGATTGTGCACTCACTCTTTGAAGAAAACAATGTCATTTTTTTCTTTTATGGATTTTGTTGTTTTTAGGTTTTCTTTTTTGTTTTGTTTTATGAACCCATATTTTTTTTTGTAATTATAGTCCTAGTTAACTCCATGGTTGAGATGCAGTTTCATGGTTTAAGTGCCTAAAACCAAGTGACATGCCCCAAAGAGTCCCAAACTTCAAGTAGATATGGGCTCAAAACGTGATCTACCAAATGCTTGAGGAAAACACTCAGAATTAACTCAAATTACCACTTAATTCAAGCATTTATCACCTCATATTTTAACATTTTTCCCCACATATTGGATACAATGTGAACTTCAATGTCCCCTATTCTCCTCTATCTATCTGACCATCTGTCTATTTCCTTGTGTATGAACTCTCCCTCCCACACACACACCTGAGTAAAGTGAAAGTCTCTCCGTCTCTCTGCTCTTGTGCACTGTTGATAACGCCACACTCCCGAAGCACACAACAGCGAGTCGTCGGAGGTTTACGGAGTCAGCACAACGGCGGCGCCTTCAGGTAGCTTATAAATCACTGCCCATTGTTTGCAAATGTCGCGGTGGCAGGAGACAGTTCTGGAGCGTGTTGTTCTCTCCACTTAAGGGCTTCACTATTTCATCACATTTGATAAACTTTGCATCAGTCGCGGCCAGGAAAAGTTCTCCTTAAAAGAGTGCTGAACGCGACATAATGCCTCATGGACTGGATCACACAGAGTAGACCAACGGAAGTTTAAATCTGGTTTTTACAGTTGGTTTTTGGGCTTAATTCTTGCTTCTTCATTATAAAGGTAAAGGTGCTCTTCATTTATAATGAGGAGTGAGGGCAATTCATCCTCTGCATTTGACCCATCCTGATGCCACTAAGGCGCAATCAGGAGCAGTGGTCGCCGTAGTAACAGTACCCGGGAACCCATCTCCAGAGGTTGATGCTCGGCTTGGTCAGGTCCAGAGCTGGAGGATTTTACCTAGTGTGCATGTTTTTAGCGTATAGGGGAAACCAGAGTACCCACGGGGAGAACATGCAAACTCCACTCAGAAAGGCCCTGTTATGACCGGTTATTGTTATTGCCCCCTGATGGGAGCAACACTGTGCATTTTGAATTACTATGATCAGTGATTGTGTGTGTCTTTGAAAAGGTAAACCTCATTCTACCCATGTAATACTTGACTCAGTCTGTAGGGGGCGCTATTGTTGCAATTTCGTCTTTTACAATTTCAGTTTACCCAAACCCAAGAGTTGAACAATCATTTCAAATTTTGTGAGAATCGGACTTCCATCCATCCATCCATTTTCTACCCTTTAATCCATTTCTGGGTCAGGGGGGTGGCAGTCAGAGATGCCACCCAAGTCTCATAGCACCAGCCCCTCACTGACCCTCTGCAGGTGGTGAGTCCACAGGAGGACGGCTGCTCTCTGACTGTGAGCATAGCCTTGATCTTTCAGTGGGGGCTTTTGGGCAAAGTGGGGTTAAGTGTCTTGCCCAAGGACACAACGACAGCAGTCATCAGTGGGAGTCGATGGAGGTGCAGAGGTGCAGAGGTGGGAATTGAACCCACGACCTTCTGGCCTTAAGGCCAATGCTCTACCAACTGAGCTACTGTCGCCCCCGAGAATCGGACTTTGTATGTGCAAATGGTGGCATTTAATGTTGTACAACAGCGCCCCCTACAATTAAATTTTTTTTAGTGTTATACCAAAGAACACCAAACTAATACACTTTATGCCTGAAAAAAGCTTGTGGCAAAGTTTGGTGAGTTTTTGTGTTTGTTATGTGGGTCAAATATGAGATCAAACAACATAAAACCTAAATACCTGTATCCCCATGTAAACCTTTACTCAGCCTCTAGGGGGCGCTAATGGGCCAATGTCATTGTTCACACTGTCATGTGACCTAGGCCCAGGAGTTGAACAACAGAGTCAAGTTTAGTGCAAATCAGAGTTTGTAAATGTGCTCCTGTTTGCACATACAATCTGTGAGTGTGTCCATCAGTCTCCATTGGATAACATGGGAACTTCACACCTCTCTATGAAAATGACCACACTTTGGGAGTCTGTCATGCGCAGACCTTTTGACTAATTCAAACTCTATATGCAACTATTGATGGTCCATGTGTTGAGACGATGTGGAATGATTTTCAGACAAATTAGTGAAACGGCCGCGGCTGGTTTGATGTTTGAGTGAGGTGTACTTTTAAGAGATTTAACGATTTTCTCATAGACACAGACAGGGGAGTGTTGGTCGTCGCCACGGCAACAGGGTAAAAAATAATCATATGTTGTCATTGACTTTTTGAATCCAGATGACAAAACAGAATTATGTGCAAAATTTCAAACATTTTGACAAAACTAAATTTTAAAAAGCCCATGTAAAACTTTAACATAGTCTGTAGGGGGCGCTAATGAGCCAATTTCAATATTTCCACTTTCAGATGACCTAGACCCTGGAGCAGAACAATGGATTAAAATTTGGTGCAAATCCGACTTTGTTTGTGCAAACGGGAGCAAATTTACTTTTGTCAAAAATTGGGAAAAAAATGTCACATTTTGCCGCTCCGCTGCTCGGACAACGTTTAATTGATCCAAATTCTATATTCAATAATAGATGAGACATGGGTTTAGACCATGTGGAGCGATTTTGAGACAAATCGGTGAAGCGGCCGAGGAGGAGATAATTTCCAGCCGACATGTGTGAAAAAGATCAATTTTCATTTTTCCATTTTCCAATTAAATTAATGAGCTTCCTCTTTGTCAGGGGGCGGACCCATAATAACTTTTTTTTCATGTCTTGGCCTGAGGAACATGTGTACCGAATTTCGTGGCTCTACGACAAACTTGACTTTCGACCCCCTCCCATAGGCGCAATGTAAACTGACTTTTGTAGGGGGCGCTATTCTGACATTTTTTTAGTCCCATAAAAATAAACACCAAAAAAATTAATTTTTCACCGGTTCTGAATTTTGGGCAAAATTTCACAACTTTTCATCAATGTTCAGGGGGTCAAATTAAGGTTCAAAGTGCAGAAGAAAAAAGAAACCAAACCAAACCAAGGATTTTTTTTTTTTAAATCTTCGAGCAAAAACAATATAGGTTTCCATAGTAACCTATAATACAAATGATACGTCGTTTTAAAGCGAACGACGAGGCGAACGCAACTATTGGGTTGTCGCCATCATGAGGTCACCCACCCCCCCCATAGGACCCCATTGATTACAGTGTGTACTACAGCAGGAGCAAAGCCATTCAGTGCCTCCGGCACTGTTTTGTCAGTGTCTGGGCACGCGCCGTCGGGCTTGGGGGACGAATGTCCGGGCTTCGCCCGGACATTCGTCCGTAAAACAGTTGAAGGAACCCCCCTTTAATAGGACTTCAATCATTTCACTGTGTACTACAGCAGGAACAAAGCCGGCTGTAGTTCCTGCTACAAGCTGCGCCCGGAGATTGTGACTTATGACAGTAAGGAAAAGCAATAGGCCCTTACCCCGGTTGGGGCTCGGGCCTAATAATAATAATGCATCCCCAAGGTTCAGTGTTTAGTCCTGAGGGTAATGAGGAGGTTGGAGTCTGTGGATCTGAGGCGGCCGGAGGGACAGTGATGATGGAGGAGGTCAGTGAGGTAAGAGGGGGCCAGGTTATGGAGGGACTTGTAGGTGAGGAGGAGGACCTTGTATTGGATGCGGTATGGGACAGGGAGCCAGTGGAGTTTTTTGAGGACAGGGGTGATGTGATCTCTGGAGCGGGTGTGGGTGAGAAGGCGGGCGGCGGAGTTCTGAATGTATTGTAGTTTTTGAAGATGAGTGGAAGGGAGACCGAAGAGGAGGCTATTGCAGTAGTCAAGTCTAGAGGAATGGTTTTTAATGCTAAAGCTAGAGATTTCTAACAAGGGGTGGGACTATTTATTTGACTTCTGACTTTTTTACTGAGCCCAGAGTTCTATCTGTGCTGAAAAGTAGATCAGAGGAATGAATAATGGGTCTAATCACCGCACAACACACACAAAGAAATAGTCACGACACCGTATGGTCTCTATACCATATGGTCTCTATACCATATGGTCTCTATACCATATGGTC